TCATGCCCGTGTTTGAGCCCGGCCATGCCTGTGTGCTCAAAGTGCACAATGCCATCGCCTATGGGACCAGAAACAATGATGAGCTCATCCAGAGGAACTACAAACTTGCTGCCCAGGTAGGTCCATCTGCCTAAAATGCATCACTTCAGGTGTGAGAGTGACCAATGATAACATGAGGTAAAAATCAGACACAAGGTTGCTGTGAGCATGGTTATAAGGGGTCCATGGAGTGAGGGTCTGCTGAACTAAGGTGAGTCACTTCTCAGTCTTCAGGAGAAATTTCTCAACCTCATGCCAGTTGTTGTCAGGAGACACCTCACCAGGTCTGACCTGGGCCTGGGATCATTTCTGTTCCTCAGAAGCTCCACAAAATCCCTGGCAGTAGGAGTCCCAGAACACAGGATAGTATGGAAAGTGGGAGCTCGAAGCTAAATTTCATGCCAGGATCCACACCCCCAAGGAGTTTCTGGAGTGTTTTGGTTTGGTTTGTTGTGAGGGTGGGCAAGTGTTCAAAAGGGTTAGATTTGTCCTGTTCCTAGCTCAAATGCTTGCGTTTGACTCAATATCAGCCTATAAGCAAGTCAGGAATATTGCTCTAAGTCTCTCACTAAGCTTCCATACTTTTACCTATGCTGGTGAGTCACTGAACTCTTGAGAGTGGAGGAGAGCGTGAGTCACTGGCCCTTGACTTGATCTGTGTACTTCTTTCTTGACACCAGCACTAGCCAAGCTGTCAGGAGAGCTGAGCCCAGCTCTGACCGCATGCCCCTCCTTTTAACCCATACAATGAATAGGTTAGACTTAGATGAGTCTCTTGAGTACTGTCAAGCATTAACCACCCACGATTCTCTCAGATGTGGCAATTTCATGTGGGACTTAGTGGGTAGGAAGGTAGCCCCTCCTTCTAGTATAGGATTTTACCATTGTATTCCTTTCTCCACCAAATGTATTCCTCTTTTTCTTTCCTTTCATTGAGTGTTCATCTCAAATATCATCTAGCCCAGTCATGGAAAATCCCCCAGCATATAAACTGCTACTCTGAAATTCTTCCCAGACTAGGAAGAAGAATCTAGCTTGCTTTTCCTATGCCAACAGTCTTTTCAAAGCATCCACTATTTACTACTCAAATTGTACTTTGAAGAGTTATTTTAGATGGGGAAACCCAGTGGGCCACCAGCCCTGAGCTTTACCTGACATCTTGTCAAGAGGTCAGTCACCTTAGCTTGGGAGTGAACATCAGTCTTGCTGGTTCTAGAATTTTATAGTTCACAGACACTTGACCTTCACCTGGGACAGTTGCTTCAGGGCTCAGAGCTCCTCTTCAAGTGGTCAACTCTACGCAACAATACTTGTTACTTTTACAACCCCAACCAAGGAGTGCGTTTGGGAATCCCTAGCATGACCTATTCTGGGAAATCTTCCAATGAGCCTTACTAGGCAACTCTTTGTTTGCATTTCTTATCATAACTCAGATTTCCCATGTATTTGGTGACACAGGAGTGCTACGTTCAAAACACTGCCAGATACTATGCCAAGATCTATGCTGCTGAAGCACAGCCTCTGGAAGGCTTTGGAGAAGTACCTGAGTAAGTGCTTACTTGTCTGACCTTGCCAGCCCTACCTTGTTGATTGATCACTCCAAGTCGTGTATCTACCTGATGTAAATGTTCACCCCATGTTCTGGTTACCTAGTGC